TAAACAAAGTTTGAATGTGAAAAATACTCAACTATTTTACCAAGAAAATTTAGAACTATCAGTTCAAAATTAAGAACAAGTAATCATCATCTTCCAATAGAGATGGGTAGATGAAATAATGTTGAAAGAAATGAAAGAGTGTGCAATTTGTGTAATAATAATCAGATAGGAGACGGATTTCAATATTTACTGGAATATAATGCATTATGTAGTATTCGAAAAGATTTTGTTGTTGCAGAAACACTGTATGTACATCCAAATGTTATAAGATTCTGTTATTTGATGACAAGTACTGATCCAGCATTCTTACGAAAATTGTGTATACACTGAACCAAGCTTCTAAGTGTTCACCAAACATTTTTTAAGTTTTAAAGAAAAATGCAAACAATTAAGAATTTCGTAAATTCATGCTTAATAATGCATATTTCAGTTCGATTTTGCGTAAGTTTCATGTAAGTATCTCGTCAGAATTTTTAGCTAAGTGTCAGGGAAATGATGTACCTTCAAAATGAAAACTCACACAAAGATATTTCTTTGGAGTAAGACCACCATTCGCTCTTTTACTGCAAGACATACTTTACTGTTGGATACAATGTACCCCTGAATATGAGAATGACCCATCTGCTGCCAAACCTACTGCCTAGATTTTTCCAAACCGTTGAAATTGAGTAGAAGGGGGGTGGGCTTAAAATTTCTTATAAAATCAAAAATGTGTTAAATGGGATTCAGATCTGGAGATCTGAAGATGCATCATCACACAGAGGTCTTTTGGTCAATATCCTTGGACGTTTATCACGAGGACACCGCTTTAAGGATGATTCAGAGTACTGATATTAGACTGTCACAAGCACCGATTTCTTTTTCATACGATATCATTTTCATACTATTGAATTCTTTTGTTTTCGTATTTCTAACATTGTTTCAGGACAATTTAACTGTGTTTAAATCTGGTGTGACGCAAAATTTTGGCCTCAGACGAAGAACAAAGTCACTTAAGGTTTGGTCAAAAACTTTCAAATTGTGATAAATTGGCGATGAAAAAGACGGACAGCCTATCAAAAAATGTTGTTTAAATGGGATTTGATACGGATTGTTAATTTTTAAAAGTAATATCAAGGACAACTTAACACTGAAATAAAAGTAAGTAAAACGTGGTGCATGGATGGTCCAGATATCAACATTCTAACGGCTCTCCCTTCTTTCTCAATGGTCATTTTGCCAATGTTTTGTGTTTTTTAGTGAAAACAGTTTTTAAATTGTGATAATGTTCACAAAAAATTACTAATTATACAAAACACGTGCCACAAAGTAAGGATTTATTGTTTTTAAGATTCGTCATGGATCATTGGTTTTCATCGGTTATATTTATTTTTCTTTCTATAATTGTTGAGAGGACTCATTTGTTGTAATAATTTGAAAATATTATACATAAATACATTTATAAAAGTGAACACTTAGAAGTTTTGTTAAGTGTATATATCTCCAATTTTTTGACATTGTCTGTCCTCCTGTAATTTCTTCTCGCTCATAATTATTGTAAATATGTATACTAGTATATGTAATCTACCCATCTCGCTGAGATTAGTATATGTACCTCTTGTACCATACATTTGGTTTTTGAGAGAACAAATGAATGTTGATTATAATAGTAAAGCCAGTCAGATACTACAAACCACACCATCGTGGTACCTGGAAAGCTATCCAACGAAGGACCCGATTCACAACCTATTGTCGTTATCTATAAGCTAGACAAAGGTGATCGGATTTCTTGCGTTTGATTTTATTATGCTAAAATAATTTTGTTTAAACCAATTTTACATGTATCAATCTGATAAAATTACATTTTCATTATCCTGGACGGGTTTAAATTTAAATATTCACATTTCTAATTCAGTGGCAAAGGACTATTGAAATTGGCATGGGGGTCCTTGTGTAATTTAAATCTATGTCCACTTTTTAAAAATCTAAATCTACAGTTTTATTTCACAATGCAATGAAATTATAAGGAATCACTGTCTAGTTAATATAGCATGCCTGGGACATCAACAATAGTGGGAAACATACTTCGTCCGTCATGCAGATTATCCCACGTTCCCCACAGTCGTTAATGCCCTGGCATACTATACTAACTAAGACAGTGATCCTTAAATGCATAGATGATATCCGGTTAAATACATTGTATATACACGTGATTTAATCGGTCAATAGAAGGATAATACTTTTATTTATAATAACAAAGTTTATACTAGAATGTTGAGAATTATAAAGAGTATACGTTGTTAAAAATAATCTATTGATAAATGGAATATAAAGAGGTCGAATACATAATGAAATTTCAAACAAGGAGGATTTTGACATGTTAAATTTCTTCCTGTTTATTTGAAGTCCATTTGAATTATAACCCTGAATATGTCGAACCCCCGGACGGCTCGAAGCCGATCTATGGTCCCATCAGCTTCGAGATAACGAAGCTTAACTGTTCATGCATTTTTCTTTTCTATTTAAATACAGAGGCGTTAATTTAATTTATTTAGTGAATAAGTACCATAAGTGTCAATAAAATTTAACATTACAATATCGACGCCGCTCATCATATTGTAACTGGCTTCACAAAAAATGACTTTAGGGCCACTATTAAGAGACTGGTTGTTGATCTTTAAAGGTCATTAAAGGTCATGAGATCCTTTTCGTATTTGACCTCGCCACAAAATAAAGATACATGTAGGCATAAGGTATATACCATCACTCCACTGGACAAAAGTGTCACACAATGCATATGCAAATCAAATATAGTACTGATCACTACAGTAAGGCCTTCATCCTATCAACTATCAAACTAACATTGAAAGATTCCACGTGAGGGCAGGGAATGCCCCCCCCCCCCGGCCTGTTACTAGTATTTGGTTCCTATCTTCAATGAAAAGGATGCAGTGAAGGTTAGAGATACTAGTAGGGAAACATCTTTCTGACATAGTGCTTGCAAATGTATTATTCAAAATAATACTAATTTGTCTCTTTTTTTGTTTGTAAATTGTGTTTCTTATCTTGCGAGCTGTGTATTTCTCTATATACGGTTTACTGTATTTGGTCCGTCTCGGTACGTAAGAAAAATTTAATTTTTTTTTATAGAATAATATTTTGACATAATTGACGGGAAAATCCTATGTTTTTGAAAATTAAAAGTAATCTTACTGTTTTCCCATTAATAATGGGGCTCCATACATGCACTTAGGTGTCTCTGGTTGAAACTCTAAGAATCAGGTTGAGGTAAAGCCTTATTTTGTATTTTGGAAGGTCTTGTTGTGTACAATGCACATGGTAAGTATTATAAAATTTAAAAAAAAACACACTTATATACACAGAACGAAATAAATGATGTCGTTGTCCTTGCGCTTTAAACCAAAAGACAAGGCCACCACAAGGAAGAGTATCCCCTCGCAAAGAGAACTGTATTCGATAATGATCCCACGATGCAAATTACGTCACTCACCCATATGCGTCAGAACCGGGGTGGGGGCTAGGGGGGCTCAGCCCCCCCCCCCCCCACACACACTTTTTTCAAAGGTTGACATAAAATAAGCATTGAAAATTGCATGGGGTTTATTATTTTTTTAGTTTACTTTTATTCGTTGGTTTAGCCCCATCCCCCACTTTCGATTAGCCATCCCACTTTCAATTTGCTTCCGACGCCCATTCACCCACAAACGAACACGCCCAACTGCGTAACGTGGGGACAATGTCAGATTGATTTACTGAATGAAAAAATATAACTTCTGACTTTGAAAATTTATGAAACAATTTTTAAGCTGGAAAATGAATTGATATACTGAACTCAACAAATGCTGCTAACAAATAATTTTGAATTAAACGATTTATTGATCTCTCTAATTCATCGATCAATTGAGGACTTCGTTTATTATCTTACAAATATGTTTTTTAAAGGAGAAATGAACTAGAGTACCATTTTTTAAAAGAGAGAAACGATTCAACTAAAGACAAGAACTATTTTATTTAAATTGTGGAAATGTTGGATCGGGAAAAAATGGGAAGGAAGGAGTAGATGGGTTTAAATTCACTATCTATGATGACTTGTTACCTTTAAATTATTTTAATTAAATAATAAACGAAACTTAATGCACACTTCCTATCCCGCTGAAAAATGTCATTGTATCCTAGAATATAAACATGATAAAGGTCTCGTTATAGTTGGAAATAATGCAGAAAAACTCAACAGCGTTTATCTGTCATCCTTGATATATTCCCCTTTTATTTTACTTTTATTACATAAATATAAATGAACTTAATCAATTTCCAGTCCGTTCCTAGATTCGATATAGAAACCGTTGCATGTTTGTGGACAACATTGGAATCGGGCTCGATGTTCAATGTAACGAGTTTCGTAAATATTGTGACGTCATTTATTCAGTGTTAAAAATTTATTCAGCGATTTTAAACAGACTATACATCAAAATACCACATGTCTATGTAAAACTGTATCCACGAATAAGTAGAGGATTAGGAGAAAAATGTTCAAAAACATCAAGAATGATATAATTGTTAAATCCAACAGTAAAGCCAGAGGAGTTCTGATGACGTTCCCCATAAGAATGAGTGATAAAAAACATTCCCCATAATTTTTGATTACATACTGAGACGACAGATACGTAATTTTTAGGATTATAAAGGAGAGTCTATAGTAATATAGTTATTTTCCATAAAAATTGCCTATTATTTTATTAAAATTGTCATACGGAAGCACTTTCCCCACAATGTATTCCATGCGCCCAATTCCTCACAAGTCGGTTATGTCGGGTAAGAGAGAGAAATGTTAGTGAACTACAATGCAATGTAACTAATTCTTCCTGGTTTCAACGATTGAAACTTTAAACGTAAGGATCAAAGTTGGAGAGGAAATTGTTTTAAGTACTTCACAGAATACGTTAAGTCTGAACTGTGTCAAATTTGCAATAGTTAATATTGTCTGTTATTTGATTGAATAATGCTTGGTTTCACGCGCATGGACCTGCTATTATTCATAGGAATGTTATGTTGTGCAAATGGTAAGAAGGGTTATTTATGTGTTGTAGTAATTGTCAATCTATGTTCTGTACTACTGTTTCTGAATCTTTCTACTTTTCCTTCGTTCAGGTTGCGTTCACTGTTTGTTCAGTGAACGCTCTCTGTTCACATATTTGCGTTCACCGTGCGCTCGCCTTCATTGTTCAGAAAAGGATCAGTTTGCACTCTTTGTTCCGATAACTTTGTGTTCACCTTGAGTTCAGCGTTCATTTATCGTTCAGTTTTCATTGTCATTTGGAACTCCGAAATCTTTTTGAAGGTGAGGATTTACAAGTTTTTTTTTAGTTACTAAGATTTCTTGATTGAAGAATCATTATTTCATGTCAAAAATTATATATAGGATATCTATATTTTTATTATTTGAACTTAGCTGTTGATTTTTTAAAATTAAATTTCACTGGAAAATAAATGTTGTAGTAAGCACATTAAGTACCTACATGTATGTACATGTAGAATGATATGAAATATAAAATTTAAATAAGGACAATGTTCAAATACTTCAAGCACTGCAACGTTTTGCTGTTAATTAAAGACGACAAATCGTCAATTGATACATTAAACCTAAGTCTATTATTTAACCAAGTGCAGCACAAATACAAAAAATACTTATGACACGTACTTTCTTTAAGTTATACACAAATACATGTGAGAACTAGTTGTGAGAATCATAAACAGTACTGTGAATATTCAGTTAATTAAATATCTTTAGAGCTAATTAAATTGATAGTGTGTCATTTAAAATCATTTAAATTGTTTAAAATGTAAAATTACATTTCCGATGTCTTTGTCCTAGATAAAATAATAAACAGTTAATGTACGTTATTTCTAAATAAATGTACATGTACTTGTTCATCGATGGGCGTGGTTTTAAAAATTCATGCGGGCGGAAAAAATACAGACAGAAGAAGACCTTGTAGCACGTGGATTTCTGGGATCAAAATCATGTAAATATGATAAATAATCAAAACATTTCGATTTCCTTACGATAGTTAATCAATTGGCTTGCATGCTAATTTTAAGCACCTTATGCAAACTATCACGTAAGCCGCTCGGTTGATCAATCATGAAATCAAAAAATTAAACATATGAGAACTTAAACAGTTATACCTTAACTACATTATACATGTATATACAGCTCAACACACTTTCTAAACTCACACGGGTATTCGCACAAATTAAAGTGACATTTTTCTTGCAATAAAACTTAAAATTATCGAGTTTCAGTACAAGACACAGCCGTTATATTACTAAATATTTCATCTTAAAGGTGCATATTCTTTACTATCATTATCTTTAGTTTTAAACGTCAATATTCGTAAAAAGAATTTGTTTATGAATTGTTTAATGTTAAATGTGTATGATTCTATCATAAGTTTTTACAAATTAATTAATTGGACTTTTTTGATACTATTTGGTTGAAATGTTGAAATTGACTTCTTACAGATGAGTACTTTTCTAGGTATTTTGCACATTTTCCATACCTGCCTTGGTTTTGTCGAAATGCAGCGCCAAAAATGGCAAAACTGCATAAAGAAAACATGTAAAAGGATAGGATAATAAAGTGTTGTTTATCTTTCAACATAATTAATTGTGATTATTGAAAAGAAAATTATTTTACATTTATGGTCTGAAAATTTTAAATTTTGCGTTGGAAAGTATATTTCGAGATTCCGGATTTCAGGAAGTTAACCTGAAAATGCCATCTTTTTAACACGGAAAACAGTCGAACGGATGAAAAATACATACATCATCTTCCGCCTTACTGTCATATTTACGTGCAGAAAATACAGAAGTTAAATGAATTGCATTGTTTTCCTATTAAGGCAAGGCAAAAGTATGCTTTAACATGAACGGATGCAGGCGCGTAGCATCGTTTTTGGAAGTGGGGGGGCCAACCTGAGAAAATTTTTTTTTACTTATCTGAAAAAGTTGACAAGCAAAAAAAAAAAAAAAAGCGAAAAATTAAAACTTGCCCGAAGTCGAAAATCCTATTTCGTGGGGGGGGGTGGTATTGGCTAACTTTTTTCAAGACCAACTATCTTTCAATTCAAACTTTTTGGGGTAAATTTTCTTTATAAAACTACCCTTTGCTGAAATGTGGGGGAGCCAACCTTCCTTTCAGTAAACATTTTCTATAGTAAAGGTCATGTCGGGAGAAAAAGTGGGGGGGCCTGGCCCCCCCTGGCCCCCCTGATACTACGCCCCTGGGATGCAAAGATGGTTGCATTTGACGAGAAACTATTATTACGGGTGAATTATGTTTAAAGTAATGGAATATGATCAATTAAAATTAAGCTATAAATCATTTCTGAAATTTATTTTGTTGTTACACAAGTTACACAATTTTGCATCATAACAATGTGACTTTAATTTGTGCAAAAAACCATGTGAGTTTAAAAAGTTTGTTGAGCTGTATATATTTTATTATTTATATATGTAAAGACTATTATTAAAAAAAAATTTCCTTCATCGTAAAGAGCTATAATGATAATAACCATTATTTATCCAGGATAACACAATTAGCATAAAGCTAGTTTTCATTGTGGTCCTGCATTAAGGATAAATAACACAAACAAACTTTTTTCAGAAATCAGCATTATTTCTCAAAGATTTACATTTAAATTGACAACCTGAATAATGTTGACCAAGTAGAGTGGGAGAATTTTATAAGATTTTGTCATAAAGTTAAAAAATTGTGCAAAATTTTGTATGGAATTATATAGAAGGCAAAACAAAATCTCAAATCTAAGCACCAAGGAAAACCTACGATTTCTTTATATTTCAGGGATTTATTATTTATATCAATATAAATCCGAATCAGTCAAAAAATATATATCAACCCGCGCATCCATTTTTTGTTTGTGGTAAGTACCCTTAAAACATATTTACAATCATATATGGACATATAGAATTAGCATCTTAATATAAACACAAGGTACAAAAGTAAAAACACATACATATATAAACATGAAGAAACATATTTTTTAAAGGGGCTTGGGGGTTGTGGTCATTTTTAGACTATTTTGACTTCCTTTAGAAGAAGAGCTCCATATAAGGATATACAAAAGTGATCAAATTTTAAAAGTAAAATGTATGAATTTTTCTTTGCCAAATAATAGTTTACAGCTTAAGATATCATATCTAAAAATATAAGTAATAATAGTATCTGTTGGTTAAGTTGTGGTTAATTTGTTGACCCCCAGTCTCCTTAAGAATACAAACATAAAATGGTACACTCAAAGATTGGAAAAGAAATCCATTTAAATACTGAGTCTGTTAAAATACTCAGTGAGATACACAAATTTAAAAATATCCACTGACCTAGAAATTAGAACATTTTGTGACAGTTTGTTCCTAAATGAACGTTTGTAATTTTCCGTTTTGGCTCTTGGTAAAAATAATATATTTGACATAAAATCATTCGACGTGATTTGGCGACGACTGACATCTCTTGTATATATTGAAAAACATTCAAAAGATCTTGCATTTGATTGTTTAAAACCTTCAATAGAAAAGTGGCCTGTCTAAACATGAAATAATCCTTGATTTGCATCCAGTTTAAACAGGAAAATAAAAGGCTGGTAGGAGTTAAAATATCTCGAATATTTAAGAGTATCCTAGCTGCCCTCTTTTGAAGTTTAAATAACTTTTCTTAATACATTTAATTTTGCACAAAACAGTGGAACAGTAAGTAAAATGAGGAAATACAATATTAAAAACCTTAATTAATGCATTTGGTGGCAAAAAATAACACTCTCTTTAGCACAGCCAGTTTTCTTTCAATTTTCTTTGAAAAAAAATCGACATGTACATTGTAAGAAAAGGTATTATAAATCAAAAAAAACACCAAGTAATTTGGTCTGCTTCACAATTTCAATGTGCACACCACTAAAATTTATGATAAGATTTCTACATTTTTGCAATATTTTAGATGTGACAATAAGCATGCACTGTGTTTTTTTTTTCGAAATTTCTACCGAGTTTATTTTTAATCATCCATTGAATACCCAACTCGGGATCTTCCTGACGTTTTATCTCACCAAAGCTTGGTTCACTTGGCCCTAGAGTATACCAATGTATTGACTAACACTTTGTGTTTCATTTTAAACATCAAGATAATATAGAGACTTAATAATTTCATTTACTATTAACAATTTTCTCTTAAAAGTTAATGTCTTGGAAACCAGTCCTTATTGACTGGCAATAATGTAGAATGCTAAGGTAAACAGGCATATTGTAGTAATTTTAGAGAAGGAAATTAATATGAGCGTACCCACTGATCTTAAAAAAAATTCTTTATAATCCTCAGAAACATTTCTATCATTTACTCTTTGCATATTTAACATCAAAGTTTGAGCTCTATATCTAATATCATAAAATAACTGTAAAAACTACTGTTTTGTACACTTTTTCTAAATATGATACAATCGAGGCATTTTGTGACGACATAATGCGTTGATTAGTCAGAAATTACCTTTTTTAATAGATATGAAAACACTAAAAACTCTAAATAGTATTTAATATATTGTAAACTTAAACAAAGCAGTATCAGTTTTTCAGAACCCCCCAAAATATAATAAGAAACATAAATTAATAATTTTACTTAATGTGCATGTATCGTCTTCCTTAAAACAATTTTGTAAAAAAGAAAGTTTCACACTGTAATTATTTATTTGATGATTTTCTATTTATTATATATTTATATTATAGCACCTTTGGCGTTCTGTTCGCTTTCTGCGTTTGCTCACCGTTCACTGTTAATGCCTAGGTCACATTTCCCGGCCGGTAGCCGTAGACCGGTGGTAATCGTTGGTAATCCGTGATGTTAACGAAGCCCTAACATCGGTTCACATCGGCCTAGTAGTCCTTACAGAATCAATCACATTATATAGCGATGGGTATTCGATGGGCAACCAATGTCTTTTATGATAAAAATGTCGTGGTTGCCGGCCGGACTTTCAAAGGCCCAGCGAAGCATTGCTAATAATAAAACGATGTTCCAGGATAATCGGCCGATGTATTTTACATCGCTCACACATTGGTGAACATCGTTCGATCATCGGTTGATTACGGGCCAATGTTTGGTCGAACATCGACCGATGATCGGCCGTTATCTGTTGGACACCACTCAACCCTCCGATGACCTCAGATTCAACGGATATTGGACGATGCTCGGTCATACATCGGCCGATCCGTGAAAGATGTGTTAATGATGGATTGCCGATGAGGAGCGATGTGAGGCATCGTTGGAGACATCGCTGAATTTTAACTACGAATTATGTCCTACCGATGACCCCACGGATTCGCAGAATTATCTCAGTCACCTTCCGATCACTAGTGGTGCCCGGCCGGCAACCACGCCATTTTCATCAAAAACGCATCGGTTTCTCATCGTATGCCCCATCGCTGGATAATGTGACTGATACTTAACACATTGTTCAACTAATTGCGTTCAGTTTTCAAAGATCGTTCACTCACCATTCTCTCACTGTTCGTTCAGCGTTCGTTCAGCGTTGAAGCTGGAAAGTAGAACTTTTCAGGGACTGTATTTTCAAGGAAATGTGAAAGAATAACAGAAATATAAAGAAATCAAAACCCAGACAAAATGATGCTAAAATATGAAGTTATCCTAAGTCCTTTTTGGAAATTATTTAGAACTGAACATCAGAGTCTATTTAACGTTCTCTTAACAACAAACTTATCCTCTCCCAATTTTCTAAATAAATTTAGCTCCATCCTGGTCGCTTTTCCTGCTTATAGCTTTATTTCTTTAATCAATTTTGAAATCTTTTCAGATTTTTCTATTCCTTTACTGATTTTTTTTAATTAAGTGACGATTTAAAATGCAGACAATAAAATATACTACCTGCGATGCCAGGTATGCCGAGTTTAATTATTGGAGTTTTAATTTTTCTTTACATGAAAATTAAAATGAAAAAAAAAGAGATATTTCTTCCATTTTAGGACAGACAGTGCGTATATCAGCAGAATTTCTAAATGGAAGGCTGATATTTAAATGGAGCAATATCTCGACAATTCCTAACGATATAGTCATTACAAAGAATTCTAAATCCACTGACTGGATACGGGTTGATGATGACCAATACACAGTGGAGGATGTACTACAGTATAAGTCAGTCAAGATTCAAGTACGGGAATTTAACAACACAGACTTCAGCAAAGGTTACCTAGACTTCGTCAAGACATGCAACAGTAATTATACTTTCAAAAAAGATAATTAAAATTAAATATTTGTTTTTTTAAAAGAAACGTAGTATCTAGAAAGTTTAAGATATGACCAAATTTCACAAAGGACTTTTCCAGATAAACCAAAATAAAAATTCCTAATTAAAAGATAAGCCAATGTAAATCATCCTTTATTATTTGTAGTAGTTAGTAGGTGTACCTGATTTCTCTCTCAATTTTTTATCAGCTATTATGAGCTACGAAAACACTGGTCAACATTCAAAAAACACATTTATTTCATCTTCGGAGTACATTTAAGTCTACGAGAAGGGTTGGGGCCTAATTTGTAGAGGAAATGTTAACTATGACATCGTACTACTAACCTATGGATTCTAAAACACACATAAAGATGAAATTATATGAAAGATAAATCAACACTGACGAGGCGTATTGAAATAACGAATAGTATTCAAGATGAAAAGACCACTAAACAACACAAAATCGGCGCAGACAAACACGGACATCTAAAACATCAGACGTGGGATCCGGTGCCATGGAGTAGTGAGCATTCCCTGCCGACCGGTCACACCCGCCGTGTGCTCCTTGTCATTATTCAAAAAAAAAAAACAACGGAAAAATCCGCCCTCAATTCATTGTATAGAAAACAGACAAACGATTAAAATGAAAATAGTCAGTCAGCATTTGACTCAACGATAAATTGTATTTGCTGACAAGGTAATTGTTCCAACCATAAAAAGTACGAAATAATGATTTAAACGAGACTGAATAACAATTAAATTGAAACGAAACTTATCAAAATTTGCTGTTTAATGATCAGTTAAATCCCGTATAGCACGATATAAACAAATCACTGATCGTCATGCACTTGCCGATATGGTGTCAAATTGTAAATGTTGACGTTTTTTGTATACAGTGAAAGGCAGCGCAAGTAGTTTTTTTTTTCACAACGAAAAAATTATTTAATAAAACTTAAGGACTAACGGTTTGAGACGTTTCTTTTCGAAATAAACCACATTTTTATGTTTTAAAAACCTACAATCGAAGAACAGATTTAAACGAAAAAGAAATCAGTAAATTATGTTTTTTCTACCTTTCTAAGAAATCAGAAAGAATCACATTTTTCTCTTTTTTATTTTTGTGTCATTTTGTATTTTGATTTGACTTCTTTATATGTGTGCCATATGTGAACATCAGAAAAAATAAAGATAAAATATACACATATGATGTATATCAAGGAACTAAGGAAGTAATGGCCAAGGGTAAAAATTTTAAAACTGGGTCAAACTCCAAGATAGAGGTCAAAGGTCTTGCTATCAAATGAAATGTCTTGTCATAAAAATTAAATATATAATTAAGTATACAAAGCACTAGCCCTACCCTGTGAAAAGTACGGACAAGATTTGCTTATTAAAAGTAGGTTAAACTTCAAGGTCAAGGCTCAAATGATCAATATTCTTGGTATTCAATGGTGGCCCTTTCCTCAAGTATCACATTTTTGAAGTATGAAAACCCTATCCCTTACAGTTCAAAAGTTATGACCAAGGTTAAAATTTTTCAAAAGTAAGAAAGGTTTTTTCAAAAGTAAGGAAATCTCTAAGGTCAAAGTCAAAAGGTCAAAATTGTTTGTAAAAATGAAACGTCTTTCAGCAAAGAATACATATAAGAAGTATAAAAGTCCTAGAATTTACTGTTCAAAAGATTTAGCCAAAGGAAAAGTTTGGAATTTTTGTGTGAAAGGAAATTAAACTCCAAGGTCATGGTCAAAAGGTCAAATTTGGTGGTAATTAAAGAAAGGTCTTGTCACATAGAATATGCATGTGAAATATGAAAGTTATAGCTCCACTTAATCAAAAGTTATAGGCAAGGTTAAAGTATTGTGGACAATCAGACAGACAGAGAGACAGAAAGGCAGACGAACGGACACGATAAAAACTATATACTCCCGCAACATCGTTTACAGGGGCACAAAAAGTCAGAAGAATAGAAAACAAAATCGAAAATAAAAAAGCCAATACCAATTTAAGGATATCCGATCCTCAGTCAGGAAGGATAACTCCATAAATTAATATTTAATTCGAAATGTATCAAAATGAAGCTTGAAAATGATTTTTTTTCATGCAACAGTTTTCATTTTATTTATCTTTATAAGATTCAAGGTTTTTGGAAGTTATAGAAAAGGTCTTATAAAAGTTGACATTTGTACCCTATAAAAGGAAAAAAATAATAATACAGTTTTAGAGAAATAAGATTTTCTTGAATCAAGCCTTGGATACCAATGCTTATTAGCATGATATGAAATAAGAAGTGAATTTTGGTGTCTTGCAATAATAACAAAAGCTTTTTACACTATATATCATAGAATACATGACAGAAATATAAGGCAAAAAAAAAACAAAAAAAAAAAAAAAAACAAATAAGCATAAAAATCAGGACAATTTCTCTGAATGCCTGGATACCTATAGTTTTTTTTAACCTAAAATATATTTGTTAATCAAGTTGCAATTGGAAAATGCATGGCTGATATTTTTAATTCGCTTTTTCTGCAAAAATTTAGGAGATTTGACATTTTTCCTTATATAATATGATTAACTTTAATTTTTAACTTTAAAGAAATACTGTGGGTAAATTTACATAACTTTTATGGATTTAGAGATACTTTTATGAGTATTTTAGATTACTTAACTGCTAATTTTATAAACCTGAGGATCGGACTACCTTAAGCTAAATTGTTTATCTTAATATGGTGATATCATATAATAGACCTTATATAGTGAGATAATTTTATGCAAAAAACAAAGGTTTTCTCTTTTGAATTAGAAGAAGAGATCAAATGATTTGAAACGCTATTTTTTTTATTCTTACATGTAATTCAAGAAAGAAAGTGCAATATCTTCTTTTAATTTTACATAATTTTGATACATAAATCCTTATTATCTGATACGTTCGTGCACGAATAGATTTGTTGGTAAGTACGTTGAAGGATAATGTGAGGTTATTACCGATGTGCACGGGCAAGGAATCAAACATTAACATGTAAACATAAACACTTTTGCAAACCTATTTTTGTATTCATTTAAAACAGACTTTGACCAAAAACTTAAAATAGAAATGACATATATTTAGATAGTGAACAGTACTTAACCTCAAAAGTCCATTACACAATACACATTTGAAGCAGAGCAAACACGGACCTCCAAAACATCAGAGCCGGAATCAGGTTCCCCTGCTGACCGAAAACACTTGCTGTGGCCTTCATCTCTCAACATTTAGATATATCGACGACATATTAATAGTAACAAAGATTATTTATATTCTTATGTCGTTAAGATATATCACAAAGAGCTTGAAATAAAAGATAACATAGAGTCTGGCACATCTGTTTAATATTAGAAAATTTTACTAGAAAAGGACGTTAATGATAATCTAACAACCCAAAGTTTGATAAAGGTGATAATTTTTACCTTTCAATGCTCAACTTCTCTTACTTATGCAGTAATAGACCTTCACCACCTGCAGACAGGGTCCATGTCTCAGTTGATTTGATAAATTTAAGTGTGTTCTTCATATGAACAATTTTAAAAACTAGGTAGGTTATTGATAAACAAGTTTATCAAACAAGAATATCAATAGTCTCATTTAAAGGCACCATTGCGTATGTTCTATGGTTATTACAATGACCTTAACGGCAAACAATTTATCATTCAGCCAAATGCTGACTGACGTTTTCATATTAATGGAACAAGAGTTATTTACATATTGAATTGTCGATTTCCCGACCATGACAAAGAGGTGGATGTGAGAATTCGGCAGGTAATGCTCACTATTCCATGGCATCTGATCCCATCTCTAATGTTTTAGAGGCCCATGATTGCTCTCCTCCTAAATTCTTAGTTTGAATACTGTGAGGGTGTGGGTTATACACCCTGATGAACTTACAAAAATCAAAAGAAGAACTTTAAAATTTTAACAAAATTTAATAACAAAATTAAAGAACAAAGTAAACAGAAATTTTATCAAAGAAAATTAACCAAAAAAAAAAAATGTACAAAATAGAATAAATTGAAAATGTCTTTGTTAATTGGTCCTGGTCCACGTCAGTCAGTGCGCATGGCCCTTGGTATGAATAGGTCCCGTTTGTCCTGGTCCTTCCGTAAGTGCGGAAATCCTTTAAGAATAGATTTTTACAGTTTCCTTTTTGTATGGCTGCACGGAACAATGTTAATTAATAACGGGCTGCGTGGCACACTGGGTTCCTCTCGGGTTCCAGAGACAATGGTCCGACGCCAGGCTCAACACTTTGAAATGTCTTTCAATGAAACTAAATATTCAGAATTATTTCCAAATTCACAATAGTTATAATTCTCAAACTTTCACAATGTTTCGTTCATATAATAACTTTAACTCAGATAATGAAATGTTCAGTGAGGGTCACCGCCCGATGATATACTAGTAACTCACAGAACTGGTTTTAGAGATATGTCGTATGGGCCGCCATAGTTCACTCACACGCTACGGTCTCTGTCACACACCATAACATGGAAATGGCTACTCTCAAATAAAGAATTTCAGTACCCGACAGTTTACATACTCTGTAACATTCTGTAGAGAGACTTTAGGCATGAAAATAAGGCATAAGACCCATGTGGTTTTCTACGGACAGGCCCCCTGGTAGCACTAGACGAACACGTCTATCGGCTGATGTTTTTCCCGGGTACTACCCAGAGCACGCTTTAACCTTACTATTTAAAGTAAAACTAGGGGCTCCCCACAGGGCTGCTATGTTACTATGGGAACTAAAGGAATTAAGGGCTCCCCACAGGATTATTAAACAAGTTACCGGAAGGGTGAACCAAGGGGATTTATTTACAATATAATGTAGAATTTCAGTTTGTTACAAATACTATGCAATATCTCTTATATATTTCATTGAACAACATTATTTCTTTTAAAGTACTGCAATTCTTGAACCGAAACCGCAGTTGAACAGCAAATAACCGCACAAATATTTACCAAACAGACATGTAAATGCAAAAAATACAATCTACAGAGCATCGCAGCATTTTTCCTATACTCAGATGGGTTTTTAAAAATATTTTTATATTTAACCTTGAAATTTAACGTGGTTATTTCAAGAATCTACATTTATAATTTATCTTAATACTGCAAGTGTAACGGCTAAAACCAGTGACTGCGACATAAAGTGACGAGTCGAAATAGAAAATATATCCGTCCTTAAATATTTAGTTAACATCCATAATTACATGCATCATATATAGGTAAGATTTTTATAAAGAAATCCATCCTAAAAAAGAATGTCTTTTATTACAAAAGAATCTGATGTTGCCACTGGGCATCTAATTTGTACTGCAGATTGAATCGTTGTATCCTATAACCGATTACAAAAAAAAAAAAAAAAAAAAAAAAGAAAAAAAAACAAAAAAAACTTTAAATAAAATTGTATTCAGCTTTGTAAGACTACTGTTTTTGAGTTCATTGACGTAATAAAAAAATTAGGAGAATATTGATTCTTTCAGATACTTTGTTTTTAATGTAGGGTAAAATACTATTAAGAAATTAATTAACGAGAAAGATTCATGCTGAATTGTCAAAAGATTGTGTTACGTTCATTGCTTTTTAGTTGCAGTAAAAACAGTACATTCAATGGAAGGAGAATCAAAAAACATTTCAATGACTGCTGATTATTTTCCGATAACTGGATTTTACTTTATATTTCATGAATATAACGGTTCAGTGTCAGTTATAATACAGATAGATAATGCCTTTCCAAAGGAGACTGAAAAGTATATATACCATAGCCGACCTTTCAATTCTGTAAACATACTGTTTGAAGTGAGAAATATAACATTGGAAGATGCTGGATATTATGTTGGAAGTCCTTCACGGAGAAGAGATACTGTTTGGAGAAATTCTTGGACAGAAAGCGGAGTTGTTCTCACTGTTTCTGGTAAACCTGTTAAACATCTGATGAAATAGAAATACAAATGTGGTTACCTTTCTTGGGTTTAAAGTAAACGAACATATAACGAAGGAATTCATATTTCTTTAATGTGCTAAATGCACAAGGGAAATAATCTTTTTTACAGAGATTAATTTTGAAACATTAAAAACTATATAGGTTGAATTTTATCGCATTGACTTCAAATAAATATATTAATGTACTACTGCATAAATGTATAAACGAATATGAGGAAATATATTTATACAAAATTTTCTCTTTACCTCATTAAATAAAACAAAATCAATAATTTATTTAGGAAAGCCATTGAAACCTATGATGACAGGAAACAGTAATGTAAAGGTGGGGTATACCGCCTTCTTGAAATGTGAAAGTAGATCTACGTCTGCTCCGTCCTATTACAAGAAGTTCCCGCCATTATCGTATTCATGGTTTGTCAACAACACAAGACTAGAAAGAGAGGTCAGAGAGACTTACAGTTTTATAGTCACCAAAGACGTTAAATACAATCGATATAGCTGTCAGGCAAAAGAGAATCTAGAATCAGAAAGAAGTAAGGAAACTCGAATAAACCCCTTACGTAAGTAGGAATTATTTTAAAAATAAAGTTCGCGTTTTGTGAATGTTGCAGGATAACCTCCATCGAGAAATGTTGTTTGAAAGATAAAAGCCGAGGCTTACCCGAGGTTTTTATATTTCAATCAGCATTTCAAAACAGAGGAGATTATCCTGCATCAATCACGACAACAAGGATTTATTTCTATTCATTTTATTCTACTAAGAGCTCTAAAATACAGCTGATCGTATCCTCTATAGGGAAACGAATAAGGTGACATTGTCTTGTTTTGCTGACGGGAAATGTGTTGATTAACTGCGCATGGAATGCAGACTATTTGGGCTTTTGTTGCATTAAAAATAGCCTTTTATTCATTACAAAGATCTATTTGCGGTATATTGCATATCTTTGCACCCACAAAAGTCAAATTTTGAAAGATTCTTAAAATGTGTTGAATTGTATAAATTGTTTGATAAATATGAATTAACAAAACATATTATAATTTCAAAGTAGGTTATTGACAATTTTTGTTTATATGACGTCACAAACTAGTCTGAATTTGCATTATTATTTTTTAGAAAAAGAATTTAAAGAGCGCAGGTCTGCTCAGGAACAATATTTGTATATTTAATTGATATTATCAATCTTCACATTATATCAAAATATTGACCCTAAGCATACCTGCACTCGGTGATTTTTACTCAAAATATCGACGCAATATTTAAATTTTCTGTAGAAACCATGGAATTTTTAAATTTACGCTACCTTTCTTATGTCATTTCAAACATATGACGACATTGCTAATGAAAATATTCAGTGTTTGAAGTCAGCATGAATCCCCCTGTTTCAGAACATAAATAAATATTACTCCTTTAAAATTTGATTTTGGGGGCAAATATTGGGTATTATCGAATAAAGTCCTTTGTTCCTAACATATTTTGATAAATTCTTTAAAATGAGTATGTAATAACGAACTCATTTTTCTAATCTTTATTAATTAATGATTGCTTAAATAAGGACTAAATTAACGTTGTTTAAATTGTGTAGGGGGTCCGTGGAACAGCTCCACTTAGCTATAAAAACCGTCATTCATCACCAACTTTATGCAATTTACAGTGTTAAGACTGCAGAAGACAACACATCGATGTGGTCTAAACAAGTACATAATTCTCGAGTCAAATATGTATTTGTATATGTATATGTAATTAACATTGAAATTTTCATTTAATAGTGTTTACATTGTATTTGAATTTATTTTATAGATATTTAATACATTGAGCATAGGGGGTGTCGCCGCGGTACAACGGAACGTCATAAAATGTTTTTTTTTTTAGAATGAAAAAGACAAACGCATTAAAAAAGCACTTAATCTTGCAATTTGCAAAGGCACAATTCTCATCATTTTCTAGTCTATTAATTGAAAATTAAATGACGGCATTGGTATTTGTGATCATAAACATTTTTGTTTAACTCTTTTGAATTGAACAAAGGGATTATCCAAATGGGAAAAAACGGCTCGGCCAGTTGTAATGCATTTGTTGCTTCAAAATATGGGAATTATTACAATCGGCAGTAAGGTAAATTAATCTGACTTATAGAAAAAAGAATTTAAATAAGAGACATCTTAATAGATGGTTTCAGCAATTTTGGGCGGGTGATTGTCACTGAATGATCAGCAGAGGACAAAAAGACCAAAAGATAGGCGATCGGACGGGAACGTTCTATGTCGTCTGACGTAAAAAAAAAGACAGACGTGTAGAGTGACATGTATATGTGAATTTCTAAGTTTGTCTTTGCTACCGTTCAAAAATTTTGACATAGGGCATAACTATGAAACCAGTGAGTGTATAATTGTACCAAGAACTCTTAAAGAAAGTGGAATTGGTGAAAGTGTTTGCTAATCACAAATATTTTTTGATGAAAGGAAGGGGGAAACGCTTTTAAAAAAGTATTACGGTGCGTATCCTTCATGTGACGTCAACGGTTAAATTTAGGTGCGGCGACTACCATAAACGTACATTGTTTAAAATCCGATTTTTTTGGAAAGTATAAATCATATTCCTTTAAATTTTTCAGGTCTGATTTGAAATAAATAAAGCTTGCATCATGCATAATTTTGTAGCTTTACATGGATTTGTAGCAATTTTATCAAAGCTGTGACATTACTTTTGGATCAACTCTTGTATTATGTTTTCAATTTCATTAAATTTGATCCTATTAGGGATTGAAGACCTTAATTTTACATTGAAAATGACAGTTTAAATTGTAATTTTTAATCTTGTTTACCTACAAATTATGCCCCAAAACACCTTATTTGACCAAGCTAAACTTATAAAGCATCATTAACCCCTTCACTTCCGTACCGGTCAAATTGACCGGTGGCGCGTTAAAACACGACTTCGCGAAAATAAGATCTCCGTATCTATTTTATGGTAGCACGAAGGTATATAAACCATATATCATCTTTTTGGAAATTTTCTCTACTTTTAGAATATCGAAAAATATTATGTCTTGATTGCCGGTATTTAATCGATTTTACGTTGTGAAGACAAACGTGACTTTTTGAAAATGGCGTTATTTTTCAAAGCAATTGCCGATTTTCCAGACGATTGACATTTTTTTCCTGATTAACTTTATAAAGAAAGCATGGTATATTCTTAAAGCATATTTTCTCTACTTTTAAAATATGTAAAAATTATTGTTATTACTTTAAAGTGTATTTCAAAAACAAGAATGTTCTTGCACATATGTGTTTTTTCTCGATTTTATTCGAAATGTTTAAACAAAGCTCAGTTTTACGTTTATTTCTATGTTGAAATAGGGAAAACAAAATAAAGCTGGTAAAAGTAGAGACAATTTCCTTTCCAACAAGCCCTTACAGGCTTTCTTACGCTCAGTATTTTCTTAATTACGGTAATTTGAATTTGTGACCTTCGCATAGTTTAAATTATTGAAAAATCGGTCAATATTTACATGTAACGTCAAGGTCGATATGGTTGCGTACGTATTACTCGAAACAACAAATTCTTTTAGAAGACTTTTTTTACCATTTAAATATGTTTTTTTTACTGAAATAAATGCATAATACAAAAAAAAAAAAAAGATTTCAAAAACAAATATATACTATCCTTCTGCCTTTTTGTGTGAAGTGAAATGTTAATTTATTCATCTACATGTAATGATGTACAGATGTGTATTTCATGTAGTGATATACAATGTTGAAAAAAATTGTAGATTCCCTAAACGTCGATCTTTACTAAAAAAAATCAGATTTTTAATAGTGTTGTACTGTATACTTGGTTTGCAATTTAATTAGATCCATATAATATTGGCACGAAATTTAAACAATAGATAGTTTTCGATGGCCCCAAATTTAGCAAAAGTTGCCTCCCGTTGGTCGCCATATTGGAGGTCGACACGGTGAGTTTTCCTCTTTGTCTTACCAAGTTTAAGAAAATATAGCAGAAATATTTGGTGGAAAATTTTTATTAAATAATTTTTTCTTAATAAAGGAGGCTTCCAAAAATTTATATACTTCAGAAAAATAATGATTCTTGATTCAAAATCGCAAATATTAAAATTTAAAATTGGTTGAACAATGAAGGGATATGAGCATTTGGACCTCCAGTATGGCGGCCAACGGGAAGTAACTCTTGGTCAATCGAAAACTATCTATACAAAAACTCGCATTTATAAATAAATACGACTCATCACTGTATGAGTTGATACGAATTGAAATAGCCACGTGTTTCCGCTATGGTAGCAGTAAACAAACAACATGATGGTGATCCGAAATCTGAACGTCAATTTTCATGATTATTTCACGACGAAGATCATCACATCAATGAATCAAATAATGCGGACATGCCTTTGGTATTAGCAGGTGAGAATACGTAAATATTAAATGAAAAGTTTAAGTTTAAAACGCAATTAGTTCACGTTCAAAAGAAAACTAAATGTACACATGTACTAGATCTTCATATTTCAGTGTGCGTATTTCGTATTGTTCAGCCAATTTTGTGTTGCTTTTGAACTTCAATGCTTTTGACAATCACTCGAATGTTCAAAGTTGCCATAATAATGGATAGCCTAGTTGTTTTCAGTATGTGTGTACCAGTGTGTACATGTCCCACTTTCACATTGAATTTTTAGGGTGCTGGCACCATATGCAACAATACTTTCATCTGTGAATACCCACTTGCTATGCCCACCATGAACTACGAAGGCCAATTAATATGTAAAGCCTTCATTGAACAGGTAAATTTTTGTTTTGGTATTGAAAATTTCTGTATTTCTAAAATTTCCAAAAATAAAGTCAAATTTCATTTGTGTCATTCTCATGATATTGCATTCATACAAGTTTATAAATATTTGATTTATATTTTGAAAAATAAGTGTTTGAAACACATAATACTTTTGATGCTTGATTATTCATACAAACACATTATTTAAACACATATATCTATTTGAATAAATCCCAAGATATGGAACAAGCTGTTTTCATAGACTGCTGTTGTATTTCCAATCTGCATAAAGTATGTGGTTAGAATTTCCATTTTCTCAATTTTTCAGACACTTTCCAGTTATCGTACATAACATACGAGGGTTGTCCCATAAAATCGTGGACAAAGCGTTTTTCTCGAAAAGTAATGGGCGCACTAAACTGAAATTTTCAGTAAATGTTTATTCATCATATTTAAGTGAATCATAATGTTTTTGATAGTATATATTCAAAAATAAATATTTTATTCTGCTTGGATGTGCACAAGGTACGGTCCTACGGCGCACGGTAAAAATAGCAAGGTTATATTAGAGAAGACATAAGAATTAATTCGTAATAAAAGTTTTCAATTCATAAGATTAGGATGAAAATTATCCTAATTCCAATCCTTAATCAATTCTGTCGTCTTTTTAAAAAATTCAAGGCATTTGGTTAATTTTTGGCAGTTTCTCGAGCATTTGAAATGGGAAAGTAATAAACACAATACACGAAAAATGACGACTTTTTATGACGTTACGGCGCA